TTATTATTATTATTGGAAGTGATGTTCTCTTTCCTCAGAGCTGTGAAAATTATCAGATAAAATTTCAAATATTATAGGGTTTTAAAGAATTTCTGTGTAAATAATTTTTTAAAAAAATAGATACATATTTTTTTTTTAAGAAAAATATTAATCAAAGACAGCATTTTATTATTGCGTGTAGGGAGGTATAACAACAACCACCACAACTAAGATGATTACAAAAATTACAACAGTTGGTACATTAATCTTGTTCTTACACAGAACATAAAAGAAACTTAAACAAAACAACTGGCATCAAGCATGCGAGAATTCGCCTGAAGTATGGCGAATTTCAAAGCATTAATTTTTTTAATTTCAAAGCATTAATTTTAGAAAAGTTTAATGTATGAGGGTATTGGGTAGAAAGGATTCATAAAGTAAGTTAAATAGTCCAACATCGTCATATTTCAAAATAACTATACAAATCACTATATACAAAACTCATTTTTAAAATACTAATACAATCCGCTAATCAAATCAAGTATGGCAATCATCTTCAGTCATCCACTAATACAATCAACTATTCACTAGTTGCTTTTTGCTATCAGCTAATAGCCAAACAAGGCCAGCCTATCTCTGACTATTATAGATTTTCATAATTTAATTTAAATTTTAAAGATGGCAAGAACCCACTAAGCAAGAATTCTTAAAGAACATCACATTAAAAAAAAAAAAGGTAAATTCTAGTATTTGGCAAACTAGACTAACCGTTAGGCAAGCCAAACAAAACAGAGAACAATATGAACAAAAAGCACCTTTTGAGACCTTACACCAGTTATGCTACACTAGTTCACCCAAAGGACACATTTAGCTACATTTAATATGAAGATGTTAAATGTATATATCACACTTCACGTGACAAATGAAAAAATGAAACAATGTTAGAAAGTCAAAGACAAATCTAAAGGTTTTTGTGCTACGACTCGAATCTGCTTTGGCTCGATTCACGGCAGTCTAAAGGTTTGTACTTAGAAAGTAAAGATATACATTAAGAGGGGGGAAAAAGAAAAAATGAAGAGTTATGCTAGATTATATGCTGATGTACTGATGGAAATTCATGGTTAGTTAGTCCTTGAAATGCAAACAATGAGTCGAGATGATGAAACGACTAGACGACCCTTTAGCATGTTGAAAAAATTGCTTTGAATTTATCTTGTTGAAAGTTCATAATATCTATCAGGACAATTTCACCAGACTTATGGATTTCCACTTATAGACATGATGCAGATTCATAGCTGATAAAAAGATGGTGGCTCAAAAGTCCCATCGCGAAACTATAAATTGCACGTAAATAACACCAAGAAAACAACTTGTCAAGAAAAAATATGTTCTTGACAAGAACACATAATTCAAACCCGGTATTTTCAGATGACACTTAAAAAAATGCCTAAATTGCCCTCAGACGACCAAACGCCTAATAAAGCAAATGCCTTGTGTATTAAACAACCGAATGCAAATAAAAAGTAACTCATCTAACCATATCGGCCTTGAATGAAAGCATTTGCAAGTTCTGCAGCTATTGCAAAGAGCACTTATCTAACCACGAGACAGCTAAAGATTGCAACTTTCCGCTACTAATGGAAGAAAAACGTAACACTCAGAGTTAAAGCCTGTCGGGACCAACAATAGTAAAAAAAACAAAATGCATCAAAAACATGAACTTTTTCACATTACAAGAACAATCATAGGAGCTCAAAAAATCAAATTCGATCATCTCAAATCAGCCATAGTTTTTATTTCTATTGAAAAAACTTGCATGGAATAGGGAAAGTGGACTTTATCTTGATTTCTTGTCTCGTGAGCCATAGAGCTACACTACAGCTATATTTGGTAAACCTAGTTGATGAGCCTAATAGCTAATAAGTTAATTTCGAGCTTATAGCTCATAGCCTATTGCTGAAAAACTAACTGATATGATAAATGTGTTTGGTAAAATTAACTGATAAGTGTGAAATAAATATATCCAATGATTAAAGCTCGAGCTTTTGAAAAAACTCATACTAGCAAAACAAACTTGTTGTACACCGAAAACTTATAAGTTAACCAACTAAGCTATATGAGCTAACTTATGGTGTTTATCAAACACACTCAACACATTCCTCATGAAGTTGTTTCATGAGGCATAATTTCTTCAGGCATATTATATAATTATATATATTCAAGATACAGAGCAACAGATCAACATAAAATGAAAAAGGGAACAAGAAAATAGCATCACAACAGACATTCATCGCCAAAATTTCTGACATATTATTGTCCAATATTTGATTTTTCTCTCTAAATTTCTTTACTATCAGACAATAAAACCTGTTTTCTGCAG